TTGATATTGATATTTGAGAAAATGACATAAAAGCCCTTAAGTTTTCACAAAAATGTCGGTTTTACCCTTGGACGTGTTTTATGTCCAGTAAAGCCCGAAGTTTTGTTTAATTTGTTCATTTTTACTTGGGGTGAGCATAATAACCGAAAAACCGTACCATAACCAGATTAACCAATATAATCGAACCATAATAACCGAACCATTTTAAAAACTGTTGGTTCGGTTTCTAATTTTTGTTAACCAATAACTAACGGTTTGATTATGGTTTTATAGGTTAACCGAACCATTATTAACCGAACCGCTAACTTTATATTTTAATATATAAAAATAAAAAGATTATATATAAAACAATATAGTCAAACTTATTTAAGACCTATTAAAATTTCAAAATGTAATTCATTAATCATCACTTATCAGGAGACGAACAATCTTTCAATCATGCATTGAGTTAGATTATTGATTAATGTTGTAATTCCTAATCGGCTAATTCTATAGTTTTAAACATTATTCACCATTAGTTTAATCTTCATGCTCATAATCCTAATTGGAAGGCTTCTCACACCGTTAATCCTAATCAAAGATTGTTTTGACTTTATAGTTCTTTTCGAAGGATTTTTTTACTATATAATCACAACTTCTAGGTAAGTTAAGTTTTTGTTTCTTCTTGACTTTGTGATATATTAAGAATGTATTTTTTTTCACTTTTTTTCTTTTTTTGTTTACTGTTTTTGACTTAATCACATTTAATGTATATGAGTGATTGACTTTTTTTTTATCCAGATAACACATAATATGAACGTTTGGCTATTTTATCTTATAGTTTTTTATTTAATCGCATTGAACGTGTATGAATGTTTGACTTTATTTTAATGTTAATATCAATTATCAATATATGAAATTATTAATGTCAATTTTTTAAATGTTTTATATTTTTATTGAATGTTTTTGATTTTGAATGTGACTATGTGTTATCTCACTCCGAGTATCAAAGGTACACATTTTATTTTATTAATATAAGTTAGGTTACAAACATTAGTTCCAAGGACTCTTTTGTATTCTTTCATTTTTATGCCACTATACTTTCGTCATTTATATTATTTTGAACATTATGGTTAACCAGTATTAACCATTAACCAAAACCGTTAACCGACAAAAACCATTAACCATAACCAATATTAACCATACCCAATGGCTACCAAAATGCTTTAACCAATCATAATGGTTATGGTTCGGTTTTGACCAATAACCGAACCAAACCGCCCCATACACACCCCTAATTTTTACCCTTGTAGCCGGTTTCCAGGTAACCTACCGGTTACCTAGGTTACCTAATGCCAGTAAAGCCCTTGAATTTTCAAAAATGTTCGGATTTACCCTTAAGTTTTTAAAAAATGTTCGGATTTACCCTTACCTTGATTGTTATTTTGATTATTATTATTATTATTATTATTATTATTATTATTATTATTATTATTATTAATTGTATAAAAATATTTTTTACATACATTTTTAAATGAATAAAAAAATTTCATACGTTTTTAATACATTTTTATACATATTATTATTATTTCTATTATTATTATTATTATTATTATTAATTTTAATACATTTTTAAATGTATAAAAATATTTTATACACACATTTTTAAAAATGTATTTATTTGTATTTAGTAGGTATAAGTATAAATATATAGTTATTTCATATAAAAATATATTATACATATAAATATAAAAATACATATTTATATGGTTTATATTATATAAAAGATATAATTATATGTATTTGTACATATTACCAAGTATAAATATGTATTTATTATCAAACATCATACTAAATAGATAAGCAAAATAAATATTCGTTAATTAAAAACATAACGTAACAATATAAAAACCCTCGTAATTAGAAAACCTCAATAAAAACACTCGATTACAGATAAGATTTAGTATAAAATTTGAAAAAAAAACCTCTATTATTCAACTATATTAGGTTAATAGTGAGTAGATAACAATAAATGATCAACAAATAACACTCGTAAATGGAAAATACATAATATAATTAAAAAAACCCTCGACAAAAACACTTGATCACTGTAAAAATTAAGTATTATCAACTTAAAATCATTCATTAACTATTTTTATCTCAAAAATTGATAACGAAATGTCAAATACGAGTGTAAACTTCATTTATGTTTGTTGTAAGTTCACAAAAAAAGATCACGAAATGCATCATTTTTTATATTGATCTGAAGCATTTGTTTTTGCAAAATCAGTCATTGACGACATTTTTTACTTTATCAAGCTTTTTCTGTTCGATTCAACAATTATAGATGAAGATTTAGGGTTTTCAAATGTATATAAATACTAAATACAAGTACATATATTTTTAAAATATATTTAATTAGTAAAAATATTGGTATACATTTAAAAATGTGTGTATAAAATATTTTTATACATTTAAAAATGTATGTATAAAATATTTGTATATAATTAAAAATGTATTAATAATAATAATAATAATAATAATAATAATAATAATAATAACAATAACAACAACAATCAATGTAAGGATAATCCGAACATTTTTGAAAAACTTAAGGGTAAATCTGAACATTTTTTAAAATTCAAGGGCTTTACTGGCATTAGGTAACCGGTAGGTTACCTGAAAACCGGCTACAAGGGTAAAAATGAACAAATTAAACAAAACTTCGCGTTTTACTGGACATAAAACACGTCCAAGGGTAAAACCGATATTTTTGTGAAAACTTAAGGGTTTTTATGTCATTTTACCTTGATATTTTTATCTATTGATCCTAACATTAGTTTCTTTTTACAAGGTCTATTTTTTGCTTTAGAAAAATGATAAATCATATCCATGATGGTCCTCTGACTTGTTTCAAAAATCATCATATTCTAACATGGAACCTCGATTAAATAATTCTACTTCTCATATGAAAGTGAATAAACATCCCTCGTCATTACATAGGGACCTTTTTCCAAAATATTGGAACCCAACATCATTAGCCCGTAAAGGCACAATTAAAATAATAAAAGGATTTATAATGGTTTTTAGCACAATGTTTATATCCTTTTTTGAGCTCTTTATTTTGATTTGTATAACATATTTTCAAATTTTAACCAACTCAAGACTAAAAATTACCATGAAACCATCGTCACCAAAATTACATTCATTAAGTACTCAAAACAATATAACATTGAAGTTCTAAAAACTATGATTTAGATTATGTTTGGTGTATTAGTTGAAAAGTTAAGTTGATAGAAGATAATATTTGGTAAAAACAACCTGATAACCTAGTTGGAAGATATAAAATTACATAAAATATATTTACGATAATGAGTTTTTTAAGTAGTTTTTTTTTTAAAACTAGCTTATAATCTATTTTTGTCATGCCAAAGATGACAAAAAAAAAAAAAAAAAGTTAGTTTATAAGTTAGTCGTAATGTGTCAAACACAACCTTAAAGTAAGCGGTCTTACTAAACTTAATGTGGTGAGTTGATATATAAACACATGTGAGAAACAAGAAAAACAAAACAATCATTCTACTAAGAAACCTCTAAATTGGTACTTAAGAAACTTGTAAATTCAAGTGCCCGGAAATTCAACAATCGGCTTTAACATCAAGTATTGTCGAGTGGTTATATATACACTTTTCCCAAAAGCGTTGATGATTTATACTTGTACCACGCATATTAAAAAATTTATTTGTTAAGAGTTTCATTTATTAAATAATGTTTCAAGAGGTGTACAAAGTAAACATGTATTTTTTAACCGGTCCAACAAACCCGAAACTGGTTTTTCTATAACCAATTTTTAAATAACCTATTCAACTAAAACCGAACCTCATATTTGATATAGGTTTTTATAAATAACTTAAACCAATTTAACTAGGAAAAAAATAAAATAATTAAAATAACTAAACTAGATTTTTAACGGAAACAAGTCTAGAGAAAATCGGTATATATGCACTGTAACTGTAACTTATTCAATCGGACTTTTTAAGACCATAAACAAGTTTTATGGCTTGGTTGAGTCCCAAGTTGGTGATGGAAAAACTATCTCTTTCCGTCACCTACTTGAGACTCAGCCCGACCAAACATAAAAACTTATTTATGATCCTAAAAAGCTCAATTGAATCGGTTAAGGGATTGTTACCCTAAACCTTATTACCCTTTTGTTATTTAGCGAAAAAACAATTAATGCAAAACAGCTATATATTCACTTGAGGGTATGTTCCACACATTTTTTTACCATTTTACATTTACTAGATGTGTATAAATATAATATGGGTGCGACTATTTGGTTGAATCACAAATTAAAAAAACACTATTTAATCTCATATTTTGAGTAAATTTCGTGTTCTCAAATCTCAGTTGCCAACTTGCCATGCTCTGAAATCTCAATTTCCATCTTGTTTTTTCTGTTAACCATTATATTTTTCAAACTCGTTTTTTTCATCAAAACAATCCGATGTTGGTTCTCCAGTCTCTCTAGAATCTAGATGGTCCTTAACATTCATAACTGAAGCAGTAACTCAAAACTATGGAGACCAAAAGTGAAATATTTCTGAAAAATATTTAGAATCAGTTTTGAATAGATCTGTGTATAAAAGGTGTGTTAAATGACTTTGTTAACTTAATTCAAGCTCCAAAACAATCACATAGATAGTTTCTTTACAATTCAGTATAAAACACATCCACATTAACCATAAATCTCCATAGTTTTAACCACTTAATAACAAAGATAGTTGACTACAAATACAATAAACCTGGTAAAACTCAAACTCAAACTAATAACAATTTAACAACACAAATAACTCAGTTGACAAGGTTTCTATGTCATAACTACTCGAATTAATATAATGATTAGAAAAGGCTAAGTTTAGTTTTGGTTTTTTTTTCTTTTTTATTAATAGATTTTGCAGACTCTAAAACAACATCAAGATTCAAGATAAAATAATACATTTTTTTGATTAAAAAAAAACTCACAGTAGCTTCTCAGTCAGCCTGATCATGAATGAATTCACAGCACTTGAATCCAAAACAATCCATGATGACTCAAAGAGTTCATGAAAAAACTCAGCCCCAGTCTCTTCAGCAGCATTCCTAAATGCAATCCCAAATGCATTTCCCTGAATTGCCCCTAGTCTCGGTTTCCCACAAACCCCAACAATCAAAACTCTCTCCTTCCCTTGTGTATAACAAACACAGATCAAAGGCTTCATTTTCGCCCCTTTTTCCCTCAAAGCATCCATCAAAAAATACCCAAATTTAGTCAAAGCTTGTGGATACCCCAAAAGCTTTGTGTCAGCTGAATCTTCAAGTTTCACCCATCTGAACTTACTCCCGCTTCTAATCGAACCCTTTCTTGTAATCGCAGTGCTTCCTTGTCTCAAAATCGCCCTTTGAATCTTGATCGCATGTCTCATACCCATTTCAAGTTTTTCAAGTTTCTTCAAAGATAAAGCATCGTACGCTTCACCAAAAGCACATGACCCGTTCAACCCAGTTGACCCGCTTGACTCAGAGGATTCTAGTAACGCGGTGACTCCATAAACCACATCAGCTGCTGAAACTTTTGAGCTGTACCCATGTAACAACAAGAACCCGCGATAGTAAAAGTCGTTAAGTCCATAATCAGGGAGAAAATGGTCAAACATGTCTTTCATTTTTCGTTTGATTTCAACACTCATGTAACGGAACTTCTGTTTGGACTCATCGAGAGCGAACCCCATTTGGGCGAGAAGCAACATGAGCTTTTTTGTCCCGTTGTCGGACCAAGTTTTTAACTTTGTTGCCATGTAGGATGAACATAGCATGGAGTCAAAGAGGTTCCATTCTTGTAAAAGCATGAGTCTTGGTTCATCTTCATATGCGATTCTTGAAGCATCGGGTGCGCAGACTTTTGTTCCGTCTTTTAGGGTTACTGAAGTGAGGGTGTCTAAGTTACCTGAACTGTTGATGTGTTGTTCAAGCTCCATTACTCCAGCTTGGTACCTTTCGTTTGTTAGCCTTTCATGAACGAATTGGTCTGTTAGAGAGACACACGCGAGCCAGAGTAATTCGTTGGTGTTTTTTCGTAGGTAATGAGAGAGCTCATACATTAAACACCCTGATGGCTTTCCATGGAAAGTACCCATGTGGTAGTACTCTTTCTTGAGCTTCCTGAAAAGCTTTAATGGATCTGCTTCACCATCTTCAGAAAGGCGCCTCTTCTTTCTATTCCCATTTCCACCGTCTTCATCATCACTGTCGTTTTCATCTTCACTATCGGATTCGTCTTCTTCCCCTTCATCGTCACTGTTTAAATCACTTGCAGCAGCCAATGCAGATACATCGAAATCATAAGACAAATCGGCTTGATTCTCATCGTCTCCAGTGTAAAGAACGACTACCCTGTCGTTCTGATGACTGAGATTATGAAGATGAATAGGCCGGTGACTGTCGACGACAAAAACACGTGCTATAGGTCCTATTTCCAGAATCTTCCTCAGATCTCGATGGCATCCCCAATTTATCAGAAGTATAGTGATTGGAACGCCAGATGAAGAGGACAGACTAGGTCCGGCATACTTATGGATCTCCTTGAAACTAGAAACGGGGTAGCAAGCGTATCTAACGGAATCGGATTCTAGAACATGGCCTATAATTTTCAAAGCACAGAGAGAATCTACATCAGAAGTGGATGGGAAGATGAGCAAAGGGGTATTAGACGCTGAAGCTAGAGCAGACTCCCTCAATTTACCATAAAAGGATTCAATACTGTGTTCTCGGACCATGATTACTAACAATTCCAAGAAGAAAGATGGAATTTTTGGATGCGTGAGTTCATGAAATCACCAAAGCTAGTAGATCAAGACCTCAAACATAAACTAGGGTTTCCAGATCTGAAGGATTTAAAAGCATTCAGATTAAGGAAAAATGCGCGGAACTACACGATTGAAGTGTGAATCATGCTTGAAATTGTGATACCTTGGTAATGCGATTGAGATGAATCGCCGAGCAACCAGATCAGAAACCCACTTGAGCTGACCTAATTGGAGCTCTGAATAGCGAAACGGAGAGAGAGGGAAAGGGAGAGGGAAAATGTGCCTATTCTGAATCTGAATTTGCTTTGAACTGAATACTTGATTGTTTTTTTAGACGAAATTTTGAAATTTTTGGAAAGGCGCTAAAGATTTGGCGGTGAAATCGGATGTGGGTTATTTCAGATTTTTGGTCGGCCTTGTGATATTTCAACCTTTTTCTCATTGAATATAGACAAAACTGCACAAATGGTCCTTGTGGTTAGCTGAAAATTGCTACTGGTCCAAACAAATTTGGACTAGCACCAGAGGTCTAAACTTTTCAATTTGTTGCGAGTTTGATCCACTTTTCTATAAACTTTTTCATAATGACTATTTTGCCCTTATTTTTTTTCTTTTTCAATTTTTTTATTATTTAAATATTTTTTTGATTCAAAAGAAAAAAATAAAAAAGAAAATTTGCATTTTCTTCTATTTTATTTTTATAATTTTTTTATAACAAAATAAAAAAAATGAAAAATCTCTCTCTCTCTCTCTCTCTCTCTCTCTCTCTCTCTCTCTCTCTCTCTCCTCTCTCTCTCGCGCTTCTCTTCTCCTCTCTCTCTCTCTCTCTCTCTCTGGATGATGATGATTTCCAAATTCAAAAAAAATTTAACCCATCGGTAACATGATACCCATTTATCATCGTCTTCCCAAAACCCCCACCCATCATTAACACTCATCGACACCCCTGTTCCCACTTCCTTCTTCTTTTTCCGGCCACCGTGTTTACTGAAATCGCAGGGTCTTGGTTGAATCCGGTAGCCATTTTCCGGTCAAGAGCTTCCATGTTCCCAAATAAGAATTTCCACATAAAAAGCTATAATCCGGTTAAGATAAAATCTAAGCTGAAGATGACTGATGTCCAAGAGAGATCTGCGAACTCAGTCTTCACCTTCAAGTCAACTTATTGGGGTCAGATTCATATTAAATATCCATAAGCGTTTTCAGTTACCCATTTCATGATTCCCCTAGATTATAACAAATAGGGAAAACCAAACAAAGAAAAATCCTAAATGAAACTCTTAGCCCCCACCTCCATTGTAATCCTCTTGCTCTACCACTTCCTTTCTCATTGAAACCCACCTCCGACACCATTATCTCCTTACCGCCAGCGTCAATATCTCCACCATTCTCATCCTCAAACAAATACAACAACAAAGAAGCATTAAAGCAGTGAGTTTCAGATCCGGTGTTGTCATTGTTTCAACTCTGAAACGAAGGTTTGCAAACGAGGGTTCCAGACCCGCCGCCATTTAGGGTTTCAAATGATGGTTGAGCCGCTGCAAACCATATCTTCATATTTATAAACCAAAAACACAGCGATGGCGTCGGTAACAAAGAGGGAAGATGGATGTTCAATAGTGGTGTTGGCGGAGAAGGGTGGTGGCGCTAGGGTTTCATCTTCCTCGGTCTCACTGTCCTTATGTTATGTTCATCTTGAAAGGTCGTCATCTTCATCGAACTTCAGACCTGGATTTCCACCTGATGTTCTGTTTCAGATGAGAAGGGTGGTGGCGCTAGGGTTCTTCAGCCATTTTTTGATGAATTTTTGGGGAAGAAACAATTAAAGAGTTATAGTGAAGGAGAACTAATGAAGAAAAAAATGGGCCTTAACGAGAGAGAGAGAGAGAGAGAGAGAGAGAGATTTAATTTTACTTTTTATTTATTTTATTTTTTTTTATTTTTTTTT